AATGGAATTCATTGTTTATTGGAATATATTTATTAAATATTTAAAAATAACACATTTATTTTCTCTGAAATGTTATCTCTCGCCTCTGCTGTTCCCGGCGTCTGTGCCGACTGCTGCCCCTGAGACAGGACCACGAGTCTTCCGCTTTCCTTCTGCTTGTGTTTGTATTTGCCTTTTTTGTGTTGAATACTGTGAAATAATTTAAATAAATATCAGTTTTTCCTTGAAAAAAATAATATTTTTCAGAGGAAGGCTCAAAAAGCAGAAGAAAGCGCAAAGGAATACAGAACATCCCTTGGTTACCCACCAACACAACGATGCCTGCGAATTCCTGCTGGCGCTACACGATAAGCCCCTTTTTCCCTTTGTTTCAGATTCATATGCTTGAAACTAAAACAGATTAAAGTCGCTTACTTGAAAAATAAAAAAAAAGAGAGGAAAAACGGCTACAATTACGCTGTGTACCTCCGTGGGGTTACCGACAGGTGACCCTAGAGCCTCGCTGTTCTTCCTTCATTGGGTTGGAACACGAGAAGCTTTATTGAAATTAAACTGGAGTTTGCACAAGGACTTAGCTGTATCCTGCTCTGCTCTTGATGTTGTATGGCGGGGGTTTGTGTTATCTTTCTCTCCACTTGCGTGTAGCCCGGCTGCATAGGGAATAGAAGTAGGCATTCAGATACTGCATACAGTATTCGTGCGTGGAGCAAAAGAGTACTGCGGCTTAGCTGCATGTGCTGCTGCTGCGTTGCAGCAGCAGTTACAGCAAAGGCTGCTGCTGCAATTCAGTAGGAAGATATCCTCAGATAGCGTCCGAGTTGTCTACAAACCGAAGCCTCTCTGTAGCGGTTGGACTCAGCCAGAAACGTGAACAAAAAGCGATGCAGATAAATTATCTCCTTTCTATGCAGGAAACTGCAACGCCTCAACGGAAATTCTACAACAGAGAGGAAGAGAACCAACAGCTTCAAACTCGTTCAATATGACTAATATATCAAAATTTTATCCAGAGTATATATATATATTTATATGTATATATACATATATATATATATATATATATATATATATATATATTTACATATATTGGAGTTTCAGCGGC